AGAGTCATCAAAATGGGTTTAACCCTTAAGGCCAACCCAACTCAACTCAGCTTTCTATTGGATTAAGATTTATTAAGCTCATTTTAAACTGGGACTTATAAAATCAACCATAGTCAGCTCGTTGGCCCTTAAGGCTTGAACTAAGGCAAAAGTATAAGGTTTAGTTATTGATCTACGGAAGTTATATCCCAAAGTGTTAAAACATATGGAACGACTTTGTATATTATTCTTTTAGTTGTTTGTAATTTTGGTAATCATGTGACACGACGATACAACTCAATCGATATAGAAGTCAAAAGTAAAAAATGTATCACTAATTAAGCCAAGTCAAACACTTCTTCAATATTTGATTTTGATTTAAAATATAAAGAGGATATAACTAACGATACAGTGTTGTATTCCTTGAGAAATCAGAATGAATTACAAGTAAGAAGGGTAAACTATTTATATGTTACAAAGGTAAGGCATTAGTCAATGAACAAGCTCCACTCGAGCCCTAAAGTACTGGGACACGAACTCTAAACTATTTATGGCAAGATGTTGTTCAACTATCTAAACAGTTCACAAATCTTGATAATAAATTTAGGTTTCTTGCAATGGTTTCTCAATAACTTTGTAATGTGAGGCAAGAATACTGGAAACACTATGGAAAAGATAGTAAATAAGAGAGAAATTCCCCGGTTAGGCGCTATGGCAGACATCACAGTATCATAGGTTGCTATCAAGGCAACAAGTGAGATCTGCAGTTCCAATTGCAAAGGAAATCCTATGGTCAGGAAATTTATAGTGTGAAGGGACACGTAAAATCCGATAGAGTTGAAAACCAAGAACAAGCCATAGGAAATTGGATTGTTGGTTCCCATCACTGATTGTCCTGCAATTCGTCGCAAGGACATTATGCCATCACTACTGCTGCTGTTATTGTGATCAGGCCAGTAAGTGTCCTGCCAAACACCTCCTGGTGGACTAAGTACTGTTTGATAAGTTGCTGTTGCAATTAAAATAGCTATAACAAGAAGGGTGTCTCTTACTTTTCCTGGACAATCTTTGGTTTTATTGTACTTGAAGAAATCCTGAAGCTTCTTAGAATTAGATCGAGGCCCATCGTCCCTTGTTTGTTCTCTGCTGGATTGTTCATTTGATGGATCTTGAACTGGAACAACCCAAGATTGTGGCAAACCTTCTTGTTGCGAAGTTTGCAAGTGTTCAGCAGATACAGCACCAGATGTTCTTAGAATTTCCTCAATATCTCTATCTCCGGATTCCTTAAGTAGTACTTCCAAAGGTGTAAGGCCTCCTTTGTTCAAAGAATTCACCTCAATAGTGCCTTTAGCAACAAAATTTTCGTCGAGCAATAGATCAACAACCTGGATGATCATTTCTCTTATTGTTATTGAAATTTAAAAGTTGATATGATGAGTTAAAAGAGGCATAACGAAGATACTTACCTCGAATTGCTTAGTTGACGTAGCAAGATGCAGAACAGTGTTTCCTTGAATATCCTTGTTGTTTAAAAGACCATACTTGTTGAATTCTTTGAGATTCTCAAGTAATAATTTGAAAGCTTCAAACTGATGGTTCTTGACAGCTAAATGATACTTACCTCGAATTGCTTAGTTGACGTAGCAAGATGCAGAACAGTGTTTCCTTGAATATCCTTGTTGTTTAAAAGACCATACTTGTTGAATTCTTTGAGATTCTCAAGTAATAATTTGAAAGCTTCAAACTGATGATTCTTGACACCCAAATGAAGACAAGTCTCGCCACGAGCAGTCACTTCTGCTGCAGAGTCTGGAGAAGCCACAAGAAGCTCCTTTATAACATGTTTTCTGCCTTTGATTACTGCATAGTGAAGGGGAATTCTTCTGTCCTTCCCTTTGAGAAGGCATAGATTACGGTCAACGTTCAATAGCTCCTTCACAATCTCTATATCCCCATTTGCTGAGGCAATATGCAAAGGGCTGAAACCATCCTGGTTTAGTTCTCTTGCAAATTCGGGCCTCAGATGAATGATCTCCTTAGCAAACTCAAGATGGACACTCAAACAAGCAATATGCAGAGGAGTTTCATTACTACCTGCTAATGAAACTGTGCTGAGCAGAAAAGGGACTTCTTTGATCAAGCTTTGCAAGTGATGGACATCTCCTTTCTGAGAAGCCTCCCTCAGCCTTCTGTCCATCAATTCTACCAACGAATTATGCAAAAAAAAAAAAATCGGTTTTTATCGTTTGGATTATAGTTTCTTTCATCAAGTTGTGCTCAGCAGAAAGGAATATCTCAGCTCTGAAAATCTCAAATTCAACTCTTATAGAAAAGAGTTCAGTTTGACTTTGTTTATGATGAGAGTTTTCTTCTTGAATTAATAATTTTGCAATCTCAGGTTTATTGAATAGTAAGACAAATGTTAGTTATCATCTGGTGAAAAAGTCAATGAAATATATATAATTGTTGTGCTAAAATCATACCTAACTGAGTTGTAGTTTATTTAATTAAACATTTGGAGATTTATGTATTTCTTAATTGTGTATTTAGATATGTAAGCAATTCAAAGTCAATGTAAGGTATATAATTGTTCTGCTAAAATAATCTGATCCTTTTCTGAACGGATCAATTAATTCAGTTCGCTTTGATTTTAAACTTTTTAAAAACTTTTTTCTTGAATTAAGAATTTTGCCAAACTCGAACAGAACATGTCATGTATCTAATGACTTGCTCTTTTTCTTGGCCTTTTCTGACTCTGCTAGGAGTTTTGGTCTCCCGTGACTTTCCCCCACTTCATTGATCACTACACAATACCTTTGGACGAATCTCTAAGAAACAATTGACAACTGCAGCCATACTTGAATAGAGGTAATCCTAATATTCAAGGTGGTAAGCAAATTCAAAGTTAATGATAATATAAAATAATGTTCAGTGCCTGAATTCAGACTTGACACAGGTTGGTCTACATTTGAAAGTTTGTTTAATAAGTAGTAAAATACTATGGAAGCGTCAAGAAAACAACATGTCAACCTATTTCATATAAGACCATTTAAAAGCGATCAAGTAAAAGTGATTTTAGTAAATTTCGTAAGTAATTTTTTATTTAGAATCTCAACACTTGCTGATTGAACCTTAAAAGAAGAACAAAATACAGGAAGATGCTGTTCAACTAGCCGTCTAGTTTATATACATGACAAGAATCTAGGTTTCTTGCAATAGTTTCTCAACATCACTGAAATGACGGGAAACAATGCTGATATGACTACGATAAGGATAAGAAACAAGAAAAAAAATTCCCAGTTAGGCATTATGGAAAACATCACAGTATTTTTCCCATTAATGAACTACAACACATGACACGTTCACAAGGCAATTCACATTATTGTTATTTTGTCCATTAATTAATTAATTAATTTTTAAATGCACCATCTTCCCCAAAATTTCAAGAGAGCCTTTGATTGAAGGTTTTAACAGAAAAAAACAACACACCCTCTCTCTCTCAAAATGAAATCGGCTCAAAAAGATAAGAATTCGATTTAATTTTCAATCCAAAAAATTAATTAGAAGTCATTTGATTACAAAGTTGGAGAAGCAGTAATGGGAGAAGAAGAACCAGTTGGGTAGCTATGGTGACAATGAAAAGTTGTTCCCAAGGAGGGAGAAAGGGAAAGAGCAGCCATTGTTGTATATTGCAGGAGCAATAGCTAGAGATTTCTGAGTCAATTTAATCGATCTAAGGAGTAAAATTGTGAAGTGGGTTGATGAATTTGAGTTAGAATTTTGTGTGTCGAGGAATTTGAGTTAGAATTTTGTGGGTTGTTGATTAAAAATTAGAACTTTGAAGGAGAATTTTGTGAGTTTTTCTATTTTTAAGTATTACCAAGAATTTTTGTTTTTGAAACGGTACGGATCAGGTTAATCTGCTTTTTAAATTAAATTAAATTAATTAAAAGGGTGAGAATCACGCACTTGTTCATAGATGAGAAAATGGTTCGAAATGCTCTGTTTATAGAGGTATTTAATACTTTTGTGGGGTAATAGGATACAGGTGTCACTTTATGTTTTTTCTCTACTATTTTATGTAAAGTGCTTATAATGATTACCATTTGTAAGTGATTTTTGTATTAGTTTTAAATGTTCTTTTATAATGTATTCTTTTCTTATTTCTTTTTAGTTAAATATGTTTTCTGCTTATATAAAGAAATTTGTGTCTAGATTACAATTAAATAGATATTACTTATTTAGACTTTATATAATTATTGGCATGGAACATGTACAATGTTATATTTCTTATTTCCAAATGAATTAAAATTATCTCAATGAAAGATTAGATATTTTATTATATGTCATATCATTTGTGTTTTACATGGATAATATGAAATATTTGGCAGATTGTTGAATGACTATACATGCATTTATAATTAGTTCATAATTATCTAATGAACTAGTATATTGCATCTTTAATTAATAATAAAGAGATCTAAAAGTATTAAGTTCATTATGAATGATCCATATAAAATTAGATAACTATTTTAATTTTCAAACAAACACTCTTACTCTAACAATTATTTGTTTAACACTAATTGGTAAAAATTGTTGCTATATTCACCATCATTTATACTTTCTAGTGCAACATATATCCTATAAATACTTAACAATTACAAGTCAAATATTATAATAAAATGTCTAAGGACTTATGAGGAACCCGATTATCATATACTATAAGTTTATAACAATGGGTACACTTGACTACATGCGCGTACCGAAAAATTAGTATAAAATAATGTTGAGTGCCTGAATTCAGAGATAGTTCAAAATTTGAGAGTTTGTTTAATAGTAAAATACTATGGAAGCGTCAAGAAAACAACACGACAACCTATTTTCATATAAGACCATTTAAAAGCGGTAAGTAAAAGTGAATGTAATAAATCTCACAACTGACAAGTAATTTTTTATTTAGAATTTCAATACATGCTGATTGAACCTCAAAAGAAGAATAAAATACAGGAAGATGCTGTTCAAGTAGCTGTCCAGTTTATAAATCTGGATAAGAATATTCTAGGTTTCTTGTGATAGTTTCTCAACGTCACTATAATCAAAGGAAGCAGTACTGGAAAGACTAGGACAACGATAAAAAACAAGTACAAAATATCCATGCAAGGTATTGTGCACATCATCACAATCATATAGGTTACCGCCAAGGCAAAAAGTGAGACTTGCAGTTCTGACTGCAAAGGAAATCCTATTGTAAGGAAATTTATGGCGTGGAGGGATACGAAAAATCCGAGGGAGTTGAAAACCAAGAACAAGGCATAGAGCACTGGACCCCTGGTAGCCATCACTGACTGTCCTGCTAAATGCCGCGGGGGCACTACTACTATGCCATCATGACTAGTACTGTTAATGTTATTGTCATCAGGCCAGTAAGTGTCCTGCCATAAGCCTCCTGGTGGATTGAAACCTGCTTGATAAGTTGCTGTTGCAATTAGAATGGCTATCACAAGAAGGGTGTCTCTTACTTTTCCTGGAGGATCTTTGGTCTTATTGTACTTGAAGAAATCCTGAAGCTTCTTAACATTAGATCGAGGCCCATCGTCCCTTGTTTGTTCTCTGCTGGATTGTTCATTTGATGGATCTTGAACTGGAACAACCAAAACTTGCAAGTTTTCAGTCAGATAAAGCACCAGATGCTCTTAGAATTTCCTCAATATCTCTATCTCCACATTCCTCTAATAGTACCTCCAAAGGTGTAAGGCCTTTCTTGTTCAAAGAATTCACCTCAATTGTGCCCCTTACAAACAACATTCTCATCCAGCAACATATTAACAACCTGAATGAATCATTGAAAGTTAAAAATCAAGATCAAGAGGCATATATATATAATGAAAAGATTAACTTGCCTCGTATTGCTTAGTTGACACAGCAAGATGCAAAACAGTGCTTCCTTGGATATCCTCTGTTTAAAAGATCATACTTGAGGTTGTCAAGTAATAACTTGAATGCTTCAAACTGATGATCTTTGACAGCTAAATGAAGGCAAGTCTCGCCACGAGCAGACACTTCTTCTGCTGAGTCTGGAGAAGCCACAAGAAGCTCCTTCATGACATGTCCTCTGCCTTTGATTACTGCATAGTCAAGGGGAATTCTTCTGTCCTCCCCTTGACAAGGCATAGATTACGGTCAACATTCAATAGCTCCTTCACAATCTCTGTATCTCCATTTGCCATGGCAATATGCAAAGGGCTGAAACCATCCTGGTTTAGTTCTCTTGCAAATTCTGGCCTCAAATGAATAATCTCCTTCATGAACTCAAGATGGCCACCCGAACAAGCAATATGCAGAGGAGTTTCACTACCTGCTAATGAAACTTCCCTGACCAAAAGAGGATCTTCTTTGATCAAGTTTTGCAAGTGATGAACATCTCCTTTTTGAGCAGCCTCCCACAGCCTTTTTCGTTGAAGTTTGCTTTTAGTTACTGCAGTAACTTTTAGCAAAATAAGTTATTTAGTTTGAATAAATTTGAATTTTGAATTTTAGTTAGTTTGTTTATGTTGTTGAGATATTTTAGGTTGTTTAAATTTTAAATTATGCAGATTATGTGTTTTATGTTGGCTATTTAAATCCCCTCAATGCTTAATAAAATTATTGAAAGCTATTGAAAGTCATTTCAATCCATTGAGAAACATTTTCAATCTTTTTGTGCTGCCTCACTTTTAAAAAAACACCAACACTTTTGTCCATTAGATCTACCAAAGAATTATGAAATCTTTTAGCCGTTTCACCTCTGAATTCTAAAAATCTATCTCTTTTCTAGGATATAAGAAAAGAAAAGCGAGTGGACTTAGTTGACTTACATATCTTGTGTGTACTACACTATTTGCTTCCTCTTCTTTTCTTCTGTTTTTCCTTTTTCATACTGCTTTCAAATGTCATACTCGCAGACAACCCCTCTACTACCACAAGGTAAAAGTAATGCCTCATACCCCACTTATGAAATTTCACTTAGTATGTTGTTGGTGTAATATGTCACGCCCCGAGCCTACACCCTAGGCGGGACCGGCACTCGGAGACCATTGCTGGCCCCAAGCGAACCCTTGGCCTGACTTTCTTAACTCAGCGGAAACCTGACTCAACAGAATAACTCAATGCCATGCAAAGACATAAATAACTTAACTGATGAAATCAAGCCAAAAAGGCAACTCTAGTCTCAAAATAGAATATTTACATAAATACATAGATGAGAGACTCAATACTAACTGACTGACTG